CGAGTAGCTGGGACTACAGGCGCCTGCCACAACACCGGGCTATTTTTTGGTGGCAGCCGTCATTGTTGTTTGGTGAGCCTGGGCTGAATTCGAACCCGCTGCCTTGGGTGTACGTGGCTGGTGCCTTAGCCACTTGAGCCACAGGCACTGAGCCAAAAAACCAAACTATTTTGAAAGAAATCAAAGACCTAAATAAATGGAGAAAGGTATTGTGTTCATAGATTAGAGATTCAACATAGTTTAGATATTAAATCTCAAATTAATCTATAGGTTAATATAATTCCTAGTAAAATCCAAGATTATTTATAAATATAGAATTTTAAAATGTATATGAAAAGGTAAAAGATCCAGAATAGCTAAAACAATTATGGAAAGGTAAAAATAATGTTGAAAGATCACTACCTGATGTTAAGGCTTATTACATAGTCACAGTAATCAAGACAGTGTGATAGTGATAAAAAATGATGGAAGAGACTACAGAATTCAGAAAGAGACCCACATAAATATGTCTTAACTCTTGACAAAGGCATGAAAGCAATCTAAAAGGAATAAGAGTCTTTTCAGCAAATGACAGTAGAGCAACTGAACATTTGTAGCAAGTATGTAAACTTGATTTAATCTCATACAAAATATAATTAAAAAGGATTACTGATTTACTGTAAAATGAGACAAAACTATAAAGTTTATTTATTTTTTGAGACAGAGCCTCAAGCTGTCCCCCTGGGTAGAGTGCTGTTGCATCACAGCTCACAGCAACCTCCAACTCCTGGGCTCAAGCGAGTCTCCTGCCTTCGCCTCCCAAGTAGCTGGGACCACAGGCGCCCTCCATAATGCCTGGCTATTTTTTGGTTGCAGCCATCATTGTTGTTTGGTGGGCTCAGGCTGGATTTGAACCCACCAGCTCAGGTGTACGTGGCTGGCGCCTTAGCCGCTTGAGCCACAGGCACTGAGCCAAAACTATAAAGTTAAAAAAAAAAAACTATCAGAGAAAAATCTTTGGTACCTATGGGTAGACAAAGAGTTCTTAGATACAACACCAAAAGCATAGAAAAAAATTTGATAAATTGGAGTTGATCAAAAAGGTAGTGTAACTGAATTTTGATGATTAAAAAAATCCTCAAGATGGGCAGCACCTATGGCTCAAGGAGTAGGGCAGTAGCCCCATATACCGGGGGTGGCCAGTTTATGCCTGGCCCCGGTCAAAACTGCAAAAAAAAATCCTCAAGATTTTAGAAAGAAAAGCAGATACTGACAAATGCAAAAAACTATACTGGCATTGGTTCAGCACCCATAGCATAGTGGTTATGGCGCCAGCCACATATACCAAGGCTGGCAGATTGGAAACTGGCCTGGACCAGCTAAACAACAACTGTAACAACACAAAAAAATAGTCAGGTGTTGTGGAGGGCGCCTGTAGTCTCAGCTACTTGGAGGGTAAGGCAAGTGAATCACTTAAGCCCAAGATTTGGAGGTTGCTGTGAGCTGTGACGCCAAAGCACTCTACCAAAGGCGACATAGTGAGACCCTGTCTCAAAAAAAAAAGAACAACAACAAAAAAACTATACTGGTATTGACTTTTCATCAACAATGTTACAGGACAGAAAACAATTAGGAAGTGTATGCAGAGCCCTATAGGAAAATGGAAAAATGACTGCCCCCCTTAAATTCGAAACTTATGTGTGAAGAAAAGAAATAAAAAGATATTTGACATGTAGTAATTCAGTAAACACAACATCCAGGTGGCACCTGTGGCTGAGTGAGTAGGGCCCCGACCCCATATACCAAGGGCCAAACTGCAAACAAAAAAATAGCTGGGTGTTGTGGCGGGCGCCTGTAGTCCCAGCTACTTGGGAGGCTGAGACAAGAGAATCGCCTAAGCCCAAGAGTTGGAGGTTGCTGTGAGCTGTGATGCCATGGCACTCTACCAAAGGTGACAAATTGAGACTCTGTCTCTTACAAAAAAAGAAAACACAACATCCACCTACTTTCTCTGAAAAAAATTTACTTCAGAAAGTGCTAGCCACATGAAAAATAATGAAAGAATAAGTAATCAGAAGACAAGATTTATATAAAATTATGATAAAAAATAACAAAGAATAACTTATCTAAATATTCATCAATGAAAATGATTGTGAATGTGCATAAAATTCTATAAAATTTTTCTTAAAATACAAGATATGGGCCTTAAAAATTACCATATTAAATGAAACCCAGAAAGGGCATAGTAAAGGGAAGGTTACATACATTCTAAATTCTTGTTAGAAAGATAAACATATTTGCTAAATATAATGATAACCACTGCTAGATACGAAATAGAATAATTTCCAAGCCATTGAAAAGAAAAGGAAAAAAAATAACACACATCTAAAATACCTAAAGGAATATATAATAAATTCAGTAGTTGAACTTCTGAGTGGTGTTACTAGAGGACTTTCGTTTTCATTATAGAGTGTAAATGTGCTTAATATGATTTTTATCAGTTAAGAAATGAATCAAATAACAAAACAAATATAAGTTCGAAACATTATAAATCAAATCTTACTTTGTTTCTCCATCTGATACAGCCACAACTCTAGCTTCTTCAAGGTGAGGCCAATTAACAAAGACAGATTTTCCAAGCACTGATGAAGCTACATTTTCTATACTCTTAAAGCAAAAAGCAGAGAAAGTCAGGTCCAAGAGTAAATTTTACATAGGCAACATTTTCCAATCTCCATTTAAGTTTCTTAAATTGTAAAATGCATAAGCTGGATTACCTGTTCTACAAAATTCTATCCAGTTGTAAAATTCTATAATTCTACTCATTAGATAAATATAGAATTGGATAATCATCTTGCCTATTTTCTTCATAGTAACTGAGAAAAGTGAAAAGAATAGCACTAACGGGATGAGCGCCTAAAGTTCAGCAGCTAGGGTGCCAGCCACATACACTAGAGTTGGCGGGTTTGAATCCAGCCCAGGTCTGCCAAACAACAATACAACTACAACCAAAAAATAGCCAGGCGTTGTGGCAGGCACCTATAGTCCCAGCTACTTGGGAGGCTGAGGCAAGAGAATCGTTTAAGCCCAAGACTTTGAGGTTGCTGTGAGCTGTGACAAAGCACTCTACTGAGGGCGACACAGTGAGACTCTGTCTCAAAAACAAACAAAAAAACCTCAGCAGAAATGTCTAGAAAAGAGCTACTTGTTTCATATCAAATATTCAGATATTTAAAACAGAATCTAAGAAACAGGACCTCATCTCAGTTTACAGAGGTGTAATTTAAAAATGAATATTAGACTTAAATTCAGGAGATATGGGCCCAAATTTGGGTTCCAACTCTTGTTAGCTATGGAATCCTAGGAAAATCATTTAATCCCACTGGGCCTCAGTTTTCTTTTATGAGAAAAAAGGATAACAACTACCTTAAAAAGTTGAGAATAAAAGAAAATAAAATATACAAAGCCTTTGGCAAACTGTAAAATGCTGTACAAATATTCTGTATGAAATAACACCTTAAGTAAAAATTCTAGTTTTAAAAAGAAACTGTACTATCCAATTCCACTTATAGTCAACATAAAATTTCTAGTAGAAATTGAAGTTTAAATATAAATTTTCATCTACCTTTTTTCAGTTTAATACCTTTAATCATTACTAACAAATATGTACTTAATGATTTGAGATTATTTTGGCTGGGTGCAGTGGGTCATGCTTGTAATCCTAGCACTGTGGAAGGCTGAGGTGGAAGAATTGCTCAAGCTGGGAAGTTTGAGAGTGGCCTGAGTAAGAACAAGACCCTGTGTGTACTAAAAACAGAAAAATTATCTGGTGTCATGGAGTGTGCCTATAGTCTGAGCTACTTGAGAGCTCAGAGGTAGGGCAAGAAGAATGCTTGAGCCCAGGAGTTTGAGGTTGCAGTGTAAGAAACCAAAAAAAAAAAAAAAAAAAAAGAGAGAGAGATGATTATTTTTATGGTTTGGGAAAGGTAACTTTTTATTTTGATATTTAGATCTTTCTTCATTTGAACATACAAAACAATGGAATAACTATTTTGAGAAATAAAACAACTTTCAATATTAGAACTAGACTCTCAATTATCCTTTTTTCTTCAATACATCTATATCTAATTTCACTCTCCCACATTTTCTTTTAATTTTTGAAGAAAAAGTGGTCTTCTTTTCACAGATTAATCCTTTCATTTAAGCCACAGATGCAATCCCTCATTCCCTCACATAGGGTCTTGTTATTATAAACACCCTTTGCCCTTTATAGCAGCTTTAAAACCTCCTTTCTCCATTAGCTCTATCTCCCTTTTGTGTGCATTTGGATGAGTAAGCTGCCTCTTCTCTATGTTACCAGCCTTCTTTTCAATGACAAAGTTACTGACCAAAGGGTTAATACCTGCTAGCTTTATTTCCTATCTACTTAGACCTAACCCAGTCCTAAGGAATTCTGCCACCAACAATCTACTGGAATAAAATTCTCAGTGGCCAACATTGATGTTGTAAAAGAAATTAACAGACCTCATTTTAGTTTTTAATTCTTCAAATTTGTGCTGTATAAACCCCTTCCTCCATGCTTCTATGATACTACTTAGCCTGGGAATCATTCTTTCTTACCTCTCTGTTTACCATGTCACTTTTCCATCCTTTTTTTTTTTTTGAGACAGAGTCTCACTTTGTTACCCTTGGTAGAGTGCTGTGATGTCACAGCTCACAGCAACCTCCAACTCTTGGGTTTAAGGGATCCTCTTGCCTCAGCCTCCCAAGTAGCTGGGACTTCAGGCACCTGCCACAGTGCCCGGCTATTTTTTGTTGCAGTTTGGCCAAGGCTGGGTTTGAACCAGCCATCCTCAGTATATGGGGCTGGTGCCCTACCCACTGAGCCACAGGCACCACCCTACTTTTCCATTCTTTATAATTATGGTATTTTATCCTGAGACCATGAATATATTCTGTGTACAATTTCTTTCTTTCTTTTTTTTTTTTTTTTTAATTTTTTTGCAGTTTTTGGCTGGGGCTGGGTTAGAACCTGCCACCTCCAGCATATGGGGCTGGTGCCCTACTCCTTGAGCCACAGTGCCGCCCATACAATTTCTTTAAGGAAATGAGCTCAAGGCCTCAGCCATGAACTTTCTGTTGACAATATCCCTATTTCCCTCCATACTCTAGCTCCAGGTATTCAACAGTATATAAATAGCCTTTCTTTTTTTTTTTTTTTTTTTGAGACAGAGCCTCAAACTGTCACCCTGGGTAGAGTGCCATGGCTTCACTGCTCACAGCAACCTCCAACTCCTGGGCTCAAGTGAGTCTCCTGCTTCAGCCTCCCAAGTAGCTGGGATCACAGGCGCCTGCCACAATGCCCAGCTATTTTTTGGTTGCAGCCATTATTGTTGTTTGGCAGGTCCAGGCTGGATTTAAACCCGCCACCTTAGGTGTATGTGGCTGGCGCCTTAGCCACTTAAGCCACAGGCGCTGGGCCATAAATAGCCTTTCTAAACTGAGGTTTTTCATCAGAATGACAGAACCCAAAAAATGATCTAGTTTCTCATTCTGCTTAGGATGGTATGTAACTAGTACCATTCTAAGTGCACAGAAGATAATTTATTACATGAAATCAATGACTTAGGGCATCAGGGCTTACATCTCTGGTAGAATACCAGTTAAGAAAGGCTGGCGGGGCAGCTCCAGTTAAACATCCTAGTACCACCTTAAAATTCTATTATTATTTATCATGAATCCTCCTAAACCAGCCACTCCCTTATTTTAACTTTTGTAATCCAGAAAACTATAATTATTTTCTAAGTAATTAGCCTGGATATCTCAGTGTAGTAAATATTTTTTTCTCTTTTCACTTGCCATATTTGAGCAAATAAAACTTGATTTTATTTTGTCTTATTCATCTAAACTTACTGCTACTTATTCCACAGTTTAGATGCTATTATACAATGCTATAGCCATCTTCATTTCTCTTTTGTGCAAATTAGTCCATTATACCACCACCAAACTAATCTTTATGAAAAATACAGATTTCAAGGTAACAGTCACAGAGAAAAAAAGTCTAAATTCTTTAGCCTGGTATTCAAGGTATAACATAATCTGGACTTGATCTGTTTTTTTTTTTCTTTCTTTTTTTTTTCTTTTTGAGACAGACCCTCACTTTGTCGCTGTTGGTAGACTGCCATGGCATCATAGCTCACAGCAACCTCAAACTCTTGGGCTCCAGTGATTCTCTTGCCTCAGCCTCCCAAATCGCTGGGACTATAGGGATCCATCCATCCTGTTATGTTTTAGAGATGGGGTCTTTCTCTTGCTTTTGATCCACACACCTCAGCCTCCCAAAGTGCTAGGATCACACCTGGCCTTGATCTGGTTTTTTCAATCTTATCTTCTACCATTTCCCAGCACTAAGTCATCTTCTCAAATATATTACTAAAAAAGTATTAGGAAATATTTCAGACTATAAAATGACTGAAAACAGTAAGATAATGTACCCATTTATTTTTGACTAAAATTACCAGCTCATGATATTTATTTTAACTAGAATGCCTTTCCTCTCATTTTCTCATTTTTGTCCTAACCTGTTTTTTAGCACCTACCTCAAGAATACTCTCCTGTTGGGTGGCGCCTGTAGCTCAGTGGGTAAGGCGCCTAGGGTGGCAGGTTCGAACCTGGACTGGGCCAGCTGGACAACAATGACAACTGCAACAAAAAATAGCTTGGCGCTGTGGCGGGCGCATGTAGTCCCAGCTACTTGGAAGGCTGAGGAAAGAGAATCGCTTGAGCCCAAGAGTTGGAGGTTGCTGTGAGCTGTGATGCCAGGGCACTCTACCGAGGGTGACATAGTAAAACTCTGTCTCAAAAAAAAATATTCTTATGTATAAGTGTGTATTAAACTTTTGCCTTGACTGAGTGTGGTGGCTCGTGCCTATAATTCTAGCACTCTTGGGAGGCCATGGCGGGAGGATCACCTAGACAAGCCTGAGCAACAGTGAGACCTTGTCTCTACTGAAAAATAGAAAAATTAGCCAGGTGTGGTGGTGGGCACTTGTAGTCCCAGCTACTTAAAAAGCTAAGGCTACACTAAACTCCTTTTGAACCTAGGAGTTTGAGGTTGCTACAAGTTAGGCTAATGCCATAGCATTCTAGCCTGGGGTAAGAGAGTGAGACTCTGCCTCAAAAAAATTAAATTAAATAAAATTTAAAAGAAAAAAACACCTTTGGTTTGCACAGTGCATCTCCTTTCAAAATTGCATCACATTTATGTGGGTTCTTGAACTGTAACTTAATTTGCATAAATGTTTCTTGGCATTATCCTTATTTAGACTATAAACTTCTGGAGTTATAACATATACCTCTTTGGTAAACCTTTAGCAGCTATAGTTTTATTCATAATAAGCATCTAATACATGAATTATAAATAAAATACTTACAAGTTCATCTGATTCTGCATTCATTAAGATTTCTAACATCATGTTTTCTCCACGACTGCTTTGCTGGAATACTTGAACACCACTTTTCTTTAAAAAAAACTGTAAAAGAATTCAAAGAATTTAATTTTATTTCTTTTTCCATATTCAAAAAATGAAAAATTATGAATAAATAAATAAATAGCCACTGACTTTGTGTTTGATGTTTTTCAGAGTAGGAAATCCGCAGAAATATAATGCCTTTTGGTCAACCTTGGTTATTTTGTTCTTGTTTATGTCCACACGCCAAGCATCTAATGATATTATTTTGTACCTAGATAATAAATCAAAGTATTTTATTTAAAATTCACACATTACATGTGATTACAGTTTTCCAATTTCCCTTGAATATTTTGTAAGGGTCACCCTTGCTTTTAAAGAAGGGAAACATAACTAGTCCCGTTGGGACAGAGAAAACAGGCTAGGTGCAGAGGTTCACGCCTGTAATCCTAGCACTATGGGAGGCTGAGGCAGGTGGATTGCTGTAGCTCTTGAGTTTGAGATCAGCATGAGCCAGAGCAAGACCCCATCTCTTAAAAAAATAGCCAGGCGTTGTGGTGGGCGCCTGTAGTCCCAGCTACTCAAGAGACTGAGGTAAGTGCATGGCTTGAGCCCAAGAGTTTGAGGTTGCTGTGAGCTATAATGCCATGGCCCTCTACTGCGGGTAACCAATTGACACTCTATCTCAAAAAAAAAAAAAAAAAAAAAAGACAAAAAAAAAAATACAGAGCAGGACAAGAACTCAGCTTCTCTGCTGTTATCAGTCCAGACATAATCATGCCTGCAGGCTACTAAGTGCAGGTTTCTCCCATTAATTCAAAACAAAACTTAATTCATTTAAAAAATAAAGTACAGAGCATAATGCAAATCTCTATATCCCTCATGTTCTAAAACCTAGGATGGAAAATAAACATTTTATCTTTTTCTTTGCTTTATAGAAGGAAAAATGATAACTGAGAGATGCTTACCTAATTTGCAACTCAACTGACAGATGGGTAGAATATTTGCAGGGAAGATGAAAGAAGAAAAAACAAGGTAGATGTTTTAATGAGGAAGAGAAAGAAAAAAATGGGCTTCAGGTAAGAAAAGGGGGGGGGCTCTTTTATTCTTTTTCTCCTTCTTTCTCATTTGGTGATGGGGGATATGAGTCAATCAAAGTCACAGCGTATCAAATAATGCTGGAGGTAGAGACATTAACAATGGAAACAAAAATTCACATATCCGCTTGAGAAAGGCAAAGGGCAAAGATATACATTAGAGAGAAAAAATACAAACAAATTTAACAGAAGAAAAGCCTGAAGTAGAATTTGACCAAAGTGAAGAATGACAGAAACAAGCGTGAATGATACTTAATTACAACTGACAGTAACAGTCATAAACTATTCATTAATTCTCCAAAGAGACATTCGAAGCTTTTGGGGTAGGGGAGTGGTCGTCAGGGGGCTCTTCTGTTGTTGAAAGCATACGAAATAGCACTACCTTGTACAACATCGTTCTACAGCAGGGAACTTTTCTGGCCATGGAGAAGGATAGGTGAACTCTGTATCTCCATCATACCAGCACATTAGGCATTCACTATGTTGATTTCTTTTCTTCTCTTCCTTTTTGAGGGAGTGGTTGCATGCCTCCATGGCTTCCAACAATCGTTTCTAAATATAGAGATTACAGAGAATGGTTAAAAGTGTAAAAATTCTAATCTCAACATACAGAATAAATCTTTTCCCTCCATATACTGAATCACTATGCTCTTAAAAAACAAAATCTAAACTAATGAACTTTTACATTTTATTACCTAGAAAAATAATATGCTATTTATTGTTTCAAAAGGCCCAACAGTATTGTTGCCACCACAAACTCCTCTGAATCTCTTATTCCAACAGTAGCCATTAAGAACAGCAGCAAAAATATCAAATTTTAAATATGAATTTAATCACAATTATTGCATCATAATTCATATAGCATGAATCTCTTTGTAAATTCTGCAGTGGTACAGTAACATCCATCTTTCCAAATTAACTTTTACATTAACATAATTCTAATCAGAATACATATTAACAGTTTAGATATAAGAAAAAGAAAAAATGATGTTAGTGTTCAGATGAAAGAATGAATGTGTGAACAGCAAAAAGTAACTGGAAACTTGCCTTACCAGATATTATCCACTTTTTATAAGGCTACTGTAATCAAAGATAAGAGTTAAATAGATCCAAATCTATGTGTCAAAATGTACTATTATTAATGTTTAAATAATGATATTGCTTTAACTAAGTAGCTGGCTAAAAAAAAGCACACACATTTCCAAACTTCCACTATATATAAAAACAAGTACCACAATAATAAGACAATATCAGAAAAAAATGTAGGAGAGTATTGATTATTTGGAATGATAAATTCTTATGTAAGCAAGACACAAAAAACACGGCTGGGCACGGTGACTCAGACCTGTAGTACTAGCACTCTGGGAGGTCAAGGTGGGTGGATTGCTTGAGCTCATGAGTTTGAGACTAGCCTAAGCAAAAGCAAGACCCTGTCTCTACTAAAAAAGAAAAACTGAGGTAAGATCGCTTGAGCCCAAGAGTTGGAGGTTGCTGTGAACCATGACATTCTATTCAGGGCGATAGCTTGAGACTCTGTCCCCACCTCTCCCAAAAGACAAAGAAAACCCAGCAAAACTTAGCGTTAAGGGAAAAGTTTTTTTTTTTTTTTTTGAGACACAGTCTCAAGCTATTGCCCTGGGTAGAATGCTGTAGCATCACAGCTCACAGAAACCTCCAACTCCTGGCTTCAGTGATTCTTTTGTCTTAGTCTCCCAAGTAGCTGGGATTACAGGCACCTGCCACAATGCCCGGCTATTTTTTGGTTGTAGTTGTCATTGTTGTTTGGCAGGACCGGGCTGGATTGGAACCCGCCAGCTCTGGTGTATGTGGCTGGTGCCTTAGCTGCTTGAGCTACAGCCCCTGAGCTGGAAAAGATTTTTTTAATTAAAGAAAATGTACATGATAGAAGATGCTATATGCAAATCAAGAAATAAATATGATATTGGGAAAACTAATCCTAATGTACAAAACAGCTAAAAATCAAAGTAAAGAAAATGGAAGGGAGAATATAAACAAGCAATTTACAAAAGAGAAAATGCAACAGTTACACATACATACAAATCTACTCAATAAAAACAGATATATATACCAATGCAATAAAATAGAAAGCCCAAAATAAATACATGATTTACAGCCAACTGATCTTTGGCTGTTGACAGAGGTGTCAACAACACAAAATAGGGTAAGGACTGTCTCTTCAATAAATGGTGTTGTGACAACTAAATGTCCACATGCAGAGAAATGAAACTGGACCCCTATTGAATAGCAACTCAAATTGAAATCAACTCAAAATGGATAAAAAGCTTAAACCTTACATTGTTAAAACTATTGGAATAAAACACAGGGAAAAAGCCTTTTTACACTGGTCTGGGCAATAATTGGATATAACTGGTCATCTGGTTGAATTAATGAAGTCACTCTAGGGATAAAGTACATGGCATAAACAATATTTTTGATGAGAATTTCAGCTAAAAGATGAACAGAACAAATGTTAAGGAATAATAAAACCTTGCAGTTGTCACCTAGTCACTGCTGCTTCAGTAAGCACAAGCTACAGGTATAAAATGTTTGTGAACGTGATCTGAAAACATGTTCTTGGTGATCCATGCCTTTGTGTTAGCATAATAATGGACTAGTAAGAAATTCACTCCTGGCCAGGCCGGTGGATTGCCTGAGCTCACAGGTTCCAGACCAGCCTGAGCAAGTGCCAGACCCTGTCTCAAAAAAAAAGATCCAGGTGTTGTGGCAGGTGCCTGTAGTCCCAGCTACTTGAGAGGCCTAGACAAGAGAATCGCTTGAGCCCAAAAGTTTGAGGTTGCTGTGAGCTATTATGCCACGGCACTCAACTAAGGGTGACAAAGTGAGACACTGTCTCAAAAAAAAAAAAAAGAAATTCAAGAAATTCACTCCTTGAAAACAGACGATGAAAGTTTTTGCCAATCACAGCAGGTTTACATTTAATATATGCCTGCATAAGCACATTCAAGCAGTTACTTTGTTTTTAGTATCCTTAAGTGAGCTGTCTTATCAGCTGTACTTAATATTTGTGGGGCAGTATCACTGAAACAGTGATGTTCTGTCAACATTATAGACTTAATCTGATGTCAGGCATTCATCAGCAATGACCCTGGGAAACGTGGCAATGACTTTCTTTGCTGATTGTGATAAGCAGATGCTTTAGCACAACCAAACCTTTTAAAATTTGATGTTTTCTCTTAAATTTCTGCAACTAGCTTGTTGCATGTTCATAGTTCTCTTCAAATTTTAGTTCTCTGCAATAGATCTTTGCTTGTTTCATTATCAGCATAGCAGTGAGTGGCATGTATTCACTGCAGTGCTGATGAATACAATCTTTTAACACATGATTGATACCTTCATTTTTAGCTTTATGAAGTATTTTTCTATTTTTCATTAACTTTTGATCATCACTTTCAGCACAGAACTTTAACAACTTATATTTCCATTTCTTCAGGTCATATATAGTGGTCATTCCAAAACTGGAATCTTCTGTAAGATATTTCACACTTACACTACCGTCCCGTTTCTCCAATAGCTTCACTCTGTGTACTATAAGTAAACATAAATGCTTTCCTTTTTTTATCACTGTATCCATACAGGTACCTGCAGGCCTTTTTGACATTTTCAGTAATACCTTCTCACCACAGAGTAAAAAATAAGTAAAAAACCAGGGAACGATGCATGTAGGTCTTGGTACTATGTGAGGCATCATGGGGAACCTATCAATAGTGTGCCTGACCCGTACATGTACCATTTTTTACCTTTGTGGGTGTGCTTGTGTAGGGGAACCTGAGTGTGCATGGAAAACAGATCAGAGGTAAAGGGGGCTGGGAAAGTCTTTTTTCCGGTGGGAATACTGAATAAACTGTATGTTGTATGTCTGCATTTTAACTTTGACCTTTCTCATGAGGTCAAGTATAGAATTTTCAATTTGTGGAATCATACCAGTACTCAAAAGCTTTGGATTTTAAAGCATTTCAAATGTCAGGTTTTAAGAGATTAGGGATGGTTAACCTATATAGCACAATAGGCTTACCTATTCTCCTGTTCGTCCTTGGATCCTATGATGGATATCTGATTAACTTTATGAGAAACTACCAGGTAGACAGACAAAGGGTTTATACCATTTTATCTTCCACTATCACTGTATGAAAATTTCAAGCTGGGCACAGTGGCTCACACCTGTAATCCCACCATTTTAGGAGGCCGAATGAGGTAGGAGGATGCTTAAGCCGAAGAGTTTGAGACTAGCCTGGGCAATACAGGTTTTTCTACCTAAAAACCTGCTGGGTGCTGTCACGGTGGCTCATGCCTATAAGCCTACCACTCTGGGAGGCCGAGGTGGGGGCGGGGGGTAAATCGCCTGAGCTCATGAGTTTGAGACCAGCCTGAGCCAGAGCAAGACCCCTTCTCTAAAAATAGCTAGGCGCTGTGGTAGGTACCTGTAGTCCCAATTACTTGGGAGGCTGAGGCAAGGGGATCATATGAGCTGGAAGAGTTTGAGTTTACTATGAGCTATGACACAAGTGTACTCTACTGATGGCCACAAAATGAGACTATGTCTCATAAAACAAAATACAAACAAACAAAAAAACCTGTTGGGATTTTTACTGGAGTATACAGAATTTAAAGACTAATTTGGGGCTTGGCACCTGTAGCACAGTGGTTAAAGTAACAGCCACATACATCAAGGGTGACAGGTTCAAACATGGCCCAAGCCAGCTAAACAACGACAACTCTAATAACAACAACAAGAAAATTGTCAGGTGTTGTGGCAGGCGCCTGTAGTCCCAGCTACTTGGGAAGCTGAGGCAAGAGAAATGCTTAAGCCCAAGAATTGGAGGTTGCTGTGAGCTGTGACACCATGGCACTCTACCAAGGGTCACATGAAACTCTGTCTCCATTAAAAAAAAAAAAAAAAGATGGTGCCGCGTGTGGCTCAGTGAGTAGGGTGCCAGTCCCACATACTGAGGGTGGCAGGTTTGAGCCCGGCCCCAAACAAAATGCACCAAAAAAATGGCTGGTGTTGTGGTGGGTGCCTGTAGTCCCAGCTACTCGGCAAGCTGAGGTAAGAGAATCACCTAAGCCCACGAGCTGGAGGTTGTTGTGAGCTGTGGCGACAAAATGAGACTGTCTCTTTAAAAAAAAAAAAAAGGAAAGAAAAAGACCAATTTGGGAATAATTTGCATCTCAACAACAATAAGTCTTCTAATCCAAGAACATGTTATATCCTTTCATTTATTTAGGTTTTCTATCTCTCAGTACTGTTTATAGTTTTCAGGGCAAAGGGCTTATATATATGTTATAAAATCTATAACTGTGTATTTTATATTTTTAGTGCTATTTTAACTAAAATTTTAAAAACTACTGATTTAAAATTTTTTCTATTTTCCAATGGTTTGCTGCTAGTATGCTGTATACAATTAGCTTTTATATTAGTGTTTTGTAAATACTAATGTCACCTATAAATAAAGTTTTACTTCTTCCTTTCCAATCTGCATGCCTTTTACTTCTTTTTAACTTGACCTCCAGTAAAATATTGGAGAGAAGTGGTTTAGAATGGACTTTTTGGCTTGGTGCCCGTAGCACAGTGGTTATGGCGCTAGCCATATACACTGAAGCTGGTGGGTTCAAACCCAGCCCAGCCCTGCTAAACAATAATGCAACTGTGACAAAAATATAGCTGGGTGTTGTGGTGGGTGCTTGTAGTCCCAGCCACCTGGGAGGCTGATGCAAGAGAATTGCTTAAGCCCGGGAGTTTGAGGTTGCTGTGAGCGGTGACACTATGGCACTCTACTGAGGGCAACATAGTGAGACTCTGTCTCACACACACACACAAAAAAATGGACTTCTTTTCCTATTCTTGATTTTACAGGAAAAATGGTCATTCTTTTACTACTAAGTATATACCTTTTATCAAGTTGAGGAAGTTCTCTGTTATTCCCTGTTTGTTTCTATTAAAATTAGATGTTGAATTTTGATAGAATGGCAAATTACATTGCAAAGTAACCTTGTTTTTCTAAAATAAATCCCATTTGGTCATGAGTATTATGCTTCTTATATAATGTTGGATCCCACCTTGTGTTATTTCCTTAGAAGTTTCTGTATTCACTTTTAAGGGGTATATCAGTCAATACTTTTCTTATAATGCTACTATTTAGTTTGGGTATCTGGAATATACTGGTATAATAAAATGCTAGGAAGTGAATCTTCCTTTCCTATTTCTTTTTTTGAGATAGGGTCTCTGTCCCTGTAGGTAGAGTGCCATTGCATAATAGCTCACAGTAATCTCAACCTCAAACTCTTGGGCTCAAGTGATCCTCTTGCTTCAGCCTCCTTAGTAGGTGGACTACACGAGCCTGCCACAAAGCCTGGCTATTTTTAGAGACAGGGTCTCACTCTGGCTCAGGCTGGTCTCAAACTCTGAGTTCAAGCATTCTACCCGCCACGGCTTACCAGAGTGTGAGGATTACAGGTGTGAGTCACCAAGACTGGCCTTTCCTCTTCTATTTTCTAAAAGTTTGCATGAGATTGCATCATTTCTTTCTTAAATTCTGGCTAGAATTCACAAGTGAAAACATCTGCACCTAGCAGGTATATAACTATTCAGATTTTTATATCTCTTTCTGTCACTTTTGCTAAATTATGATAAATGTGTTCATCTAAGATGTGGAATTTATGCTATACGGTCGATCATGTTTCTTAGCTATCTTTTTTACTATAGGGAAGATCTACAGGTTGTCTCTTCCTTCACTCCTACATTTCTACATTTGTAATTTATATGTGTTCCTCCCCTCCTTTATAAACTCTCCTGATCAGTCTAGCTAAGGATTCATCAATTTTATTAATCTTTTCAAAGGACCAAATTTTGGTTTCATTAACTTTTCTCAATTATTTGTTCATTTTCCTTGAATTTCTGCTTCTATATTTATTCTAATATCATTGTGCTTAGGCTGGGTTTACTTTGCTTTTTTTTCCTATCTCAAGGGAAAAGTTTAGATCATTTATTTTAAATCTTTTTCTTATTTAGTATAAATATCTAGCACCATAAGTTTCCCTTTAATTCCTACTTTAGTTGCATCATACAGACTATGATATATTGAATTTTAATTACTGTTCAGATCAAAATATTTTCCTAGTTCCCTTTTAATTTCTTCTTTCATGTATAGGTTATTTAGAAGTGTGTTATTTACTTTCGAAATATTTGGGAATTTTCCAGATTTTTAATACTAATTTCTAATTTTATTGCATGTGATTAGAAAATATTCTCTGTATGATTTTAATACTTTTAAATTTATTGAGACATGTTTTATGACTCTGCATCTAACCTTGGTGAATGTTTCTTACTCACTTGAAAAGAATGTGTATTCTGCAGTTGCATATAGTGTCCTATAAATATTAATGAGATTGAGTAGTTTTATAGCATTCTTCAAGTCTTCTTTATCCTTATTTTCAGTCCCCTTGTGTCATTAATTTCTCAGAAAAGTATTAAAATTTCCAACTATAATTATAGATTTATCTATTTCTCCCTTCAATTCTGACAGTTCTTGCTTCATGTATTTTAGGTTGTTATTAGGTAAATATATGCTTAAGATTTTTATGTTTTCTTGAACTGACTTGACTCTTAAAAGTATGAAATACCTCTCTGTCTCTGGTAATATTCCTTGTTCTAAAGACAACCTTGTCTAGGCTCAGGGCCTGTAGCACAGTGGTTATGGCGCCAGCCACATGCACTGAGGCTGGTGGTGGGTTCAAACCCAGCCACAATGAAAACTGCAACAAAAAAAGCAACAATGACAACTGCAGCAAAAAAAGAAAAAAAAAAAGACTACCTTGTTTAGTAATAGGAAAGCCAGTCTACCTGATGCTAGCAATTTTTATGCACATCATGAAGAGAGTAGCTAAATCTCTTTAACAAAACATAAATGGTGTTTAAAACCCATTGCTCATTAACTTATATGAAATAATCTCCAATTAAGAATGTTTGTGTGGGGTGGTGCCTGTGGCTTAGCGGGTAGGGCACTGGCCCCATATACCAAGGGTGGCAGTTTCAAACCCAGTCCTGGCCGAACTGCAACAAAACATAGCTGAGCACTGTGGCGGGTGCCTATAGTCCCAGCTACTCAGGAGGCTGAGGCAAGAGAATCACCTAAGCCCAGGAATTGGAGGTTGCTGTGAG